CCCTGGTCCCATATTATGTTCCCCACTTAAAACGAAAATTACATGAGTTGTCCAGTATTGCTTGGATCCTTTCTCTTTACATATTTTATAAGAAAGTCTTAAGCCTTATGCTTTTACTAAGTTATTTCATGTAGCATTCTGTGCAATGAGTCTGAAATACAATGAAATAAATAGCTTAGCACTTCAGTGCCTTGTATGCAGAGAAAGGTTGCGCTGAAAGGTGAGGGGGGAGTCTCCTTTTTGAAGAATGGGGCTCAGTGCTCTCTTGTAGAGTAGGCTACTTCTGTAGAGTAGAAAAGTCACTTAGAGGTAGATATTTGCATTCTGCCATCATTGCATGCTGCTGCCTCCATCCTTCTCCCTTAAAAAGGAAGGAAAAAAAAATACCAAGTTGTTGCAGGCTTTTTTTGGTGGCTATTTCTTAGTGCCTTTTTTTTTTAACAGGGATGATAATAGCTCTCTGTTCCTGAGACATGTTAGAAAGAAATAAGTTACAGATTGCGAGGTGATCTGATAGTATTTTAATGGAAACTCTATAGCCTTTTGAAATAGGTTCTAAGTCCTGAGACCAAACTACATTTCTCTAAAATTCACTTTCATTGTAAAGGCTGGTAAGTCAAACAAACAAACAAAACCCCACACATGCTCTATCCCTCAGGCTTAAAGTGCACTTGAGGTATTTCTGTACACTGATCAGACCCCCCTTCTGCCTCCTCCAGGCTGAGCAGGCCCAGCTCTGTCAGCCTCTCCTTAYAAGTGACCAGTCTACTCAAATGAAGGTACTCAGTTAACACCTATTTAGTTTTTATCTCTTTTGATGTTTGCTTTTCTGTAGCTATTTCATCCAACAGGCTTTCTGTCTTGTTGAAAAATAATTTTAAACGGAAAATTATGGGAATAAAACTTCTAAAAAGTGTCCTGTGTCTCCTGCATGTCACAATCTTTTTATAATTAAAATATACCTAAATTAGATGACGATACAATGGACCAAGAGAGACCATGGACCTCCAGCTTCTAAATTATCCTATGATCCAGGCTGCTCCTTCCTCGTCACCTTGTTCTGCTGTCCGTGCGTTGGTCCTATTCCACCTGACCATTTCTGCCTGTCTTGGTCCTCCAGGGTTAACCTTCATCCTTGCTTTTACAATGAAAGTGAAATGGCAGAAGATATTTTCTAATGCTGTTTGCTATTTCTGTTTTGAAGATTTTAAAACTGGGAAATAGCAAGCTTGGCTTCTCAGGAAAAATAGATAATAGTATATTCTTTACTGCCAATTTTTTTTTCCTGTGGCAGTGAGTCCCTATTTATCCTCTCAGATTGTGCCTGCACATGCTGTGCATCTTGTTCATTGCTTGTGGGCCCAAAATGAATCTTTGACTCATTCTTGGTAGAGAAAAATAATAATTAAACAGACTAGATAAAGCACTCCGTTTTCGCCCTTGACAGTCTTGAAGAGTAAGAAAGGAAAGTGGCTTTTACTGAGGAACGTTTGCTGTACTTGTTTTAGAAAAGAAAAAGGCTATATATATCTTAAGATTTCAGTCGTCAGCTACCCACTGTGAATTTGTATTTTGTGTGTTGTTCATATAGCGAGGTCTGATTTCTATTTTGGCTATGCCCAGAAATTGGGTGTTAAATTTTTTTTTATATCTTTCTTTTCATGTGGAGAGATAAATATGAAAGACTGAAACATGTTATTGAGGAAAGTATTAGCTGGTAATCTGTTTAGGATGTGAGAATTTTCCTTTAATTTCTCAGTAGAAGTATAGTTTTGTTTTATTGTATCCACATGAATATATTCTTGGTTAAAAGGAAAAACTATTCAATTCTCTGAAAAGCTATTTCTCATGCTGATATCCAATAACCAGTATCATTGTGCCATCTTCATTATTTTTTAATAAAAATTCTTGTTTAATTGAAGTCTTGTTGCGTCTATTGTGTAAATCTTGAAACCACTTTGGCAATTATGAAAACGCATATTCTAAGCAGACTGCAGACCTACAAGTACGTTAACAGTTATCTAATTAGGTGCTTGTAAATGAGCTATTATTCACTATTGGACAGTGTAATTTCTTGGAAAAGGTTGTTTAAAATGTACCTAAATAACATGGTGTAATAAAGCTGGGCTTTTGCCTTCTGTAATAGAACTGCTGCTAAGTCATCAGTTGAGCACAAAGGTTAGAGTCCTCTCCAAGACCGGCACTTTTCTTTCTATGTGCAGTTTACAAGGATACAGAGTTTACACGGAGTTGTTTTCATCTCCTCTCCACTCTCCCCTTGCCGCTGCTGCCCCTTTTTTTGGCCAAAGCTGAGGTCTCGTCCTCTGAGTTGCTTCTGTGAGAGTTCAATAAATCAGTTTAGTGAGCCAGATTAATTTAAGGATTTTAAATACTAGTTCTTTGCTAGCCAGTGAAAACTGAGCCAGAATTGGGTTAGAGGACGATCATGTGAACATCTCCTCTGAGGTCCTGAGGGTTTGGTGACAAACAGCAGCACAGCTGAAGAACAACTAGGACATTTGTCTGTGTGCTCAGGCCAGCCCAAGGAGCATCGACAGTCACARCAAACAGTTGCAGCCTTGTACCTGAGACTTCAGGTAAAAAATATACTTTTCCTTTGAAATGTTACATATATAACATAGCACTTCTAGGCTCAAARTAGAACAAAAATAGCCAAAGACCTTTCTGGAATAAGAATTGTGATCAAGAATTTAGGCCTAGATATGAGTGTCACATGTCATCGGGGCATCATTTCTTCAATACAGTGACCAGGGAGCCCGTGCCCCTAAGCGCTTGTGGCTGCTGCACCCGTCTCTGCAGCACCAAGGCAGGCAGCCGCCATCAGGCAGAGGCAGCTCCTCAGCTCTCCACAAGGACGAGGCAGGAAATTGGCTGCAGGAACTGGGGAGGACGGTTGAAAGGCAGATGTTAGATTAGGAGAAAATGTGTAAACATTGCAGAATGGGCACACTATGGTCTAGCCAGCCTATGCAGTCAAGGCCAACCGGGAGAGAATCAAGGAGAGGTCAAGGTGCTCAGCTGAGCATTTACATTCCTGACAGAAACCACCAGGAGAGTCTCAATTCCTCACCGGTCTCTGCGCTCCTCCCCAGGGCTACCATGAACGTGCACGGGAGAACCATGATGCTCAAGGACTGGATTTTAGTGTGTGAAATATCATGCTCATACCTTAAATTCTTGAAGAAAATTGTCAGGCCTTCAATTCATCACAAAAGTTGTCAACAAAGGCTTTTAATAAATAAATTAACAAAAATAATGAGTTTTGGCAGAGAGAAGGCTTTCTCTGCTTAGTARGTTACACAGTACAAATGATCTCTAGTTTGTATTATAAAATGTAGCTTGATKGATGACTGTTCATGTTTCACTTTTTTTGACAAAACAGGAAAAGGGTATAATTTTACTTATTAAAAATAATATTCTTTGTAATTCAGATAAATAAAAAGCTTTGCAGGAAACGTCTCAAGAGTTATGAGACTGCTTTCTTTCAATAGAGTTTAAGGAACACCCAGAAGATTTTTTTTCAGCACAAACTGTAGATTTAGGTGACTAAGGAAAGAGTTAGTGCCYACAAATATGAAAACAAAAATGGACATTTTCTCTCAGAATAAAATAAAAAGTGGCTATTCTTTATGATGAGTCTGTTATCCTGCAACTGCCCCTTCCTCCCTTCTCCACGACCAGCCTCCTTCTGTGAGAAATTTCCATATGGAAATAACAACTAGGGAGCCTTCAGCTGCGTAACCAACATTTCTGTCAGCATTAGGTAATGTCATTCAGACGCCTCTCATAAATCTTGCTAGAAATCACAGGAAAGGCACAGAACAGAAGTTTAGAATCACGGCAGACTGGGAACCGAAAGGAAAGAGCTGTGCAAATGTCAGTCCCAGCTGAACTGCCTTCTCGCAGTGCCAAGCCAGCCACTTTATCTGGGGCCTAATCAATCCTCTTCCAGTACAGGCAGTTTTAAAGCATATTTTCTGCCAGCTGTGTGCTAGCAGCTTGATAGGAACAATGCCATAATAATATTCATACTGTCATTTCACTAGTTGCTACTGACAGAAGAAAAGATGTTGCCATCTGGATCTCTCCACTGCTCAACAGGACAAGTGTTTTCTGCTTTCCTAGATTTAGAACTCTGACATGGCAGATTGTTTCTCGTTTCCATGTTTTAAAACACGAAGCCATAATGAAAGGATTACTTGCAAAAGAAAGCTTATGGACTACGTACACATTATACTTGTTTAATGTCAACTCCTGATTATGCAGTAGTGGAATGCCACCTCTATATTTAAAATGTGAACTACTGACAACATTTTCAGAGTATTTAAAGCTACTMTTTTTGGAAAATAAAGTGTGTTGTGTTGCAAGCATGAAAATGAAGCAATCGATCAATTTAGCAAAAATGTGCCTGGCGAATATGCATTCCCAGGCTTCAGGCAGCTTGCTGCTTCTCGAGTGCGGGAGAGAACCTCACCACGCTAATGGCATTAAAATGCTCCCACTGAATTCAGTGGGGCAGCCCCTAAGACATTAACAGGATTATCACCGTCCTTTAAAATTAAGTTTATGCACGTGCACTCACAAAATACGAGTCTTAGCTGCAGAAAGGCTTAAAGCAACTGTTCTAAAGAAGGTGAGAGATCCAGAAAGAATATGTTACTGTTCAAGATTAATTTCTTATGAAAAGTCTATTTTAATAGAAGGTGTTACCTGCATAAACTTTTTTCCTTAGAATGTCAAAATCTCAGATTTTTCAACTGTCACAAAGCATTGTTAGAAATGGAGACACAATGTGCTGATAAAATTAAAGTGCAGTTTCTCAGTTTTGAAATTACTCCAAAATGATTAAACACTGAAAAGCATTTAATCTTTCCCTTTAATCTTTCACTATAAACCAAAAGTTTCTGATATCTGAAATTACTTACCAAAATAAAGGACTATTTGGGGTAGCAGTTTTGTTTGTATTTTTTTTTATTAAAAAAAAACTGTTAATGCTATTAGGCAATACATATGTAATAATACTTAATAAAGTATCATGTAGTAGTAGGTATTTTGGATTGAGGAATGTTATGATTTTACCTAAATTCTCAGAGCTCTGTTCAGCTCCAGTCTCTTCTAAGTTCTCATTTTTCCAGAATTTAAACTCATTCTTTGTCAAGGTACATCATCCTTAAGGCCTTGCAAACTTTTTAGAGTAATTGAACCAAAACAAAGAGAGAGCTCAGCTTTCTTGAACTGTAGACCACGTTGCCCTGGAGCATAAAAAGGTGCCTGTGGTTTTCAAGCAGTTAGTGGTATATCAGCAAGAAAGAAATTAGAGGAGAAAAGGGGCACTTGGAAATCAAACAGTAAAGTGCACAATTATACTGTCCAAAATTGTATTAAACTCTTCCAAAGAACTTGACTGTGGATATTTAATACAATTTGGTTTGCATGGAACATACAATCACGATCGGACTGCAAAGATTTTCTTTTTGTCTTCCTGAAGTCATCTACAGGATGGATTTATTGAATTCAACTTTTAAGGACAATATACTGCAGCTCTTTGGATATTGGTTGGTTTCCTAAGTCCACAAGAAGATAGAGGGGGAAGGTGTGGAGGGTTGCAAGGTGTCCTCGAGCCTTCTGTGCTTGGTTTAGATGCCAGTGCTCTCCAGCTCCCCGTCCTCCAGCTCTAATGCAGTGTGCGACCTAGAAATCATAAAGAGTTTCTCTTTATTTGTGTACTGTCTTTGAGTCTGCTGAGGTTGCTCCCCAGCTTGTTCTTTGTTGGTAGCCTCGAGGGGGGCAGTCTGCTTGACTGGCTCCTCCTCACAGTCCTGGATTTTACTGGCTGGGGTGTTGGCAACTGACTCCAAGGAGGTGCCTGCCTCCTCCAGGTGGCTGTAGCCCTTATTGCTGCTGCTGGAAGGCTCAGACTGGGAGCTCTGGGAATCCATCCTGGTGATAGCCAGGGGAGGAGAAGGGGGTGATCTCCCCAGATCCAGGGATTTGGAGTAGCTAGAAGATGCCTTTACCAAAAGGCCAGAGTTCGGGCCCCTGCTGATGGATGAGGACTGAGGAGCCTCAGGGGAAAGTGGGTACCTGGCATCAGGCAGGCAGCTGGTGCTCTGCCGCCTTAGGACCAGCTTGTGCCTCCCTGTTCCATGGTGTCCGTCCATGTAGCTGCTGCTGAGGTCAGTGAGGCTCAGCTCAAATTCCCCTCGTGGGATCTCACGGGCACCTCGCTCGCCAGGGGGCCTCTGCCAGCCCCCTGCTCTACCCCCCTGCTTCAGGGGCAGGAGGGTAAAGGTGCTGAGTGAGGAGTCCACGATGGAGCTGGCTGTGCTGTGCCTGCTCCAGCTCTCCGGGGGGCTGCAGGGTGGGCTGGAGAGGGGGTGGCCAGCGAGGGCCGCCCGCTCACGGTAGATGCTGTACACGGCCTCTGCCAGGCTGGGCGCATGCGGCGGGCTGCAGAAGGAGGAGCGCCGCGGAGAGGACGCCCGCTCCGGCGGAGAGAGGGACACACCGAGCGCAGGTGGCCAGGAGCTCTTGGCGAGCATGGCCGCAGCACCCAGGCCCTCACTGCCGGGCTTGAGCTCCAGGCCTCGGGCCTGCACATAGTTTACAAAGCCGTTGAGAGGGGCTGTAGCCGGGGCTGCCCCATCCTTGGCCCGCAGGCTGTGGGCATCAATGACCGTGGAGTAGAGGTCACGCAGGTTGATGATCTTGGTCTTCTTGTCACGGTTCTCATGCAGCACCGCATTGGCGCAGATGAAGAGGAAGATGCCGATGCCCATGATGAGGGGGCCCAGTACCTTCAGCTTGTCCGAATGCAGGTAGCCCGAGAAGAGACGGAAGAGGAAACTCATGGAGGCCTGGGGGGATGAGGAAGTGGGGGGTGACTGTGGGGACCCCTGCATGGTGGCAGTAGTGGAGGAGTTGGCTCCAGGGGCTGTTTCTGGGTGGGAAGCTGCCTGGCTCCGGGAGCGGTTCTTGGGGGTGCCCCCCTGCGGCACCRGGTGTCTGCTCCCACCGAGGCTGCCTTCTCTGTACACGTGGCTGGGCTTCGGCCAGTAACCCACCACCGCCAAGGCAATGCCCACTAGCAGCACCAGGATCCCACAGAGGGCAATAAGCCCCGAGAGGGAGCACAGCTTGAGCTTGCCCTTCACAACCACCACGTCGTTCTTGCGCTTCTTTTTGGCCTTGCGTTTGCGTTTGAGTACTTGGCTTTGGGGCCGCAACGGGTCTTGTTTCCTAGCTGAGATCCTCAGGAGGCCTCCAGTGGCAATCATGGCTGGCTATCCAGGGTGCCGCTCCAGCTCCTGCAGTGAGAAGAAAAGAGGGTGAGAATCAGGGGCAGAGCAAGAGGTACCTGTTTCCTGCTGCTCCTTCCACATCCTCTCCTGCTAGCTAAAATGCGAGAGAGAGAGAGAGAGAGAGAGAGAGAGGGGTGGGAGGGGGTGGTGACACCAACAGTCTAGCCTCCCTCACCTACAACTCCTGCATGTGAGAGAGGGATGGATTGAGAAGACAAAAAAAAAAAAAATGGCAGCTCCAATCCCGTTACTAATTGAATTCTTTAGGTTTCAGGTAAGGAATAGAGGGAGTGGTACCTGCTGATGCACCCAAACAAAACATAATGCCCCTGCTCTCAGAAGGAGCTTACAAGGCACCAGGGAGACAAGATGCTGACAGATTCCCTACATTTGAACTCGATTCCCTATTGCAGCCTGGGATTATGCTGTGGTGTTAGTAATATCCCAGGAGCTGGATTTGAGAAGATGGAAGTAAAAGCAGAAAAGCAGTATGCTTGATCTATGGATATCTTTTGTTTTATTGTATTTTTGCTGAAGGAGGAGAGGGAGTTAAACACATTATTTGTGGTTTTGTTGTTGTTGTTGTTGTTGTTTTTGTTTTTTTGTTTTTTTGAATGGGAAAGGTATTACTGAAAAAGACAAACAAAAAACACCCACAAGGGAAACGTTTTAATATCCAGAGAGCAGCGCTTTGTAAAAGTTTTTTCCAAAGTCATTTCATTTACATTTTATCTGCAATATTATAGAAATCCATCTTCTGTCTATAGCCTGGATACATCAGCTGGACAGCCGCCTGATTTGGAAACATGTGTAATGTTCAAGGTAACTGTTATGTAACATTAACAAATTCCCCCCGCCCCCAGAAATGGAAGGCAGTGGCTGGTAGGTAGGTAAAACACAGCATGTCAAATCTTATTAAAGGAGGAGAGAACCCTTATTTGCACCCTGGAGAAATAGATTTCCTACAGGGAAGCTGACAGGACCAAACATTACGCATTTATTGCTTTATTTTACTGGACCATCAGGACTCATCTGTGTGTTTTTCAGTGATTCGGGGTACAAAAATGCATAACACAGAAACAATTTATGCACTGCTGTAATTATTTTTTGAAGATTTTCATTCTACCAAACAGAGATTTTCCCTCCCCCCAACTCTTTTTAAGTGTCTTTTTTTTTTTTTTTTTTTTTTTTTTTAAATATGACAGCAATAAATACAGTATGGTTCATAAAGTTCAATTCAGTGTATTGTGAGGCAATCAGGCAACCATCTACAGCAACCTTAACCCCCCCACCTTCCCCCATTATTTTGTTTCTTTTCTCTTCCCAGATTTGCCCCAGATGCAGCAGTGTTGTGCCCCATTTGCTTTCTATTTCCCCCATAAATGGGCAGTATTATCACTAAGAACATTGCTTATTTGCTCTCTAAGGTATTACACGCTTAAAACAAAGAGCGGAGACTTGTCTTCTCTTTCCTACTGTTAAACTGTTTATTTGCTCCCCCTTCCTTTTTTGTATTCAGCGATTTATTTGGCTGTTCAGAAAGGCAATTATCGGACCCCAATCTGCTTTATTTGCCAGTTTGTCGATCTCATTCTTTCTGCTGCCCCACTAGAGAAGAACCCGTCTCCTCTAGCACGGCAAAAACAGATGTAATCATCAGTAATCATCCCCTAAGCAATCTTTGCAGATCCGTCTCACTCAGTACTTAGTTTTTCAGTACAGGGGAAAGGAGGGGTAGCATGTGATGGAGAGGATGAGAAGATCACTGGCTGTTACGAGTAATTGCAATCTAATAGAATAACCCAGGATTCGGGGAGGCTTTTCAAGGCTATGGGCAGAAATCACGTTTTGTATTGTACCAAAGGCGATCGTCAGAAACAGACAACTGATTTCAGCTCTTTTAAAAAGCCTGCCAGGACCATTTTTTTGGTGTGTGTTTTGACTAGATTAAAGATTAGATCCAAGATTATGGCTCGTCGAGGGCCAAGCACAATTTCAGCGCTAAGCCGGTCACTCGCTTCGACACACGACGAGGCACCGGTTTAACTCTTGCTCTCCGGGCCGCGAGCAGCTGRAATTGGCGCCCGCGGATCGGCGAACAACGAGGCTCGCCCTTCAGCTACTTTGCTGGGGGCTCAGGCTGTCGCAGGCGGGGGAAAATAATGTATTTTGAAAGGATTTTGGTATTGGAGCCAGGGGCACTTGTCAGGAGATGTTTTCAGGAGTATTTCTAGCGGGCGGCTACCGCCCGTCGGGGGAGCCGAGTCTGGCTGACTCCGTCCCCAGGCACCCCCGGAGTGGAGCTGCCCGGAGAGCCCTCGGCCTCCCTGGGGACAACGGCGCCCAGGGGTCTGCAGGGTCGTCCCGTCGAGGTATCGGCCGAGTTGGGGGGAAGCCTGTGGGCGAAACTACCGCTCAAAATGGCAGCGCTGCAGCCGCGAGGGGGACGCGCTCACTCACCGAGGAAGACCAGGGAGAAGCCGGCGCTGGAAGCGGTGGAGCCACCGCGGAGAAGAAACTTTCCGGCCCGAGCAGGCATCCCCGCACGGCGCCCGCCCCGCCGCCGCCGCCGCCGCCTCGCCGCTCCTCACGGCCCC